AAACCCTAGAACCCGAAACCCCAAACCCAAACCTTGAACCCTCCAGTAGAAGCCAGAAAGTTGGGACATCATGATCCTCATGTCCTGAGCGTAAAGCATAGGGACTCCCAGCCCGAATCATCCTAAATCCATATTCCAGCTTTCTGGGGTTCACTATAAACCCTACCTTAAGAACCCAAAACCCACTTTTTTGTAGGTTCTTATTATAAACCCTAATATGGGATTTATAGGGACCCTACAAAAAAGTAGGTTTTGGGTTCTTAAGGTAAACACCAAACCCCAAACCCCAGCCCTAAGTTTTGGATCCCAAACGCCGCGAGATCGCAAAGGCTGAGAGAGGTCCGGGGCGTAAAACCGATGGAATTAATCAGTAGCTGCTCCAAAGCCTTATCTTCAAAATAGCCGCAAAACTGAATAGAAACACCAAAAACAACTTACCCTAAACCCGAACGCCTAAACACTAAACCCTAAACCCAAACCCCTAAACCCTAAACCCTAAACCCCAAAAACCCCAAAGCCCCCTTACAGACGGGGGCGCCAGCCTCAGGTGGGAAGGCGGCCTCCATTGTCGTCAGCGCCTGTTTCAGATCACATCGGACTGCGGGGGTTTAGGAGTTTAGGATTTAGTTTTTAGGGGTGAGGAGTTTAGGGTTTAGGGTTTGGAGTTTAGGGTTTAGGGTTTAGGGTTTAGAGTTTAGGGTTTAGGGTTTAGGGTTTAGGGTTTAGGGTTTAGGGTTTAGGGCTTGGGGTGTAGGAGTTGTGTAGGGTTCAGGGTTTAGGAGTTGTGTAGGGTTTAGGAGTTGTGCAGGGTTTTTGAAGCGTTTCGCAGGGTCTTCGCGGCCTCTTTTGTGATGTCAGGTGTTTCTTACATCAAGGGGCCGGCGAACCCTTGGCCCAACTGCGTCTGTGAAGCCCACTCCGACAACGTAAGGCGAAGACGCATGCTCGTCGTCCAGCGGCGTGATGACGACACCGGAGCAAAGTGTCCGCCCAGCCACGTATCTAACGGGTTGCAACAATGCCTGTGCTTCGACCAAAGAGACCGACGGTGGCAGCCCGGAGTCTCGCACAGCTTGAGCTGCAGCCGATGGTGCATGGCCGGATTTCGACGTCAGCGCTGCTGCAGGTGGCTTCGATGAAACGTTTGCCGCCATGTTGCTTGTCCCAGGCTCCTGACGAGAGCACTTGGCGATCATGGTCAGGCTTGCAGAGGGAGCCGAAAGGGCGATGCCAACCTTCACTTGATCCTGATAGCCACGAAAGAAGAACTTCCAGGCAATGAATGCATTCCTGTCAGCATAGAGCCCAGCCTGGCTTGCGCAGCTAGAACGGCTTCAGCAAGAAATGTTGCTGTACAATCCTAAAGACCATGATGGCTTGCAAAGCCACATAAAGGCTTTCAAGCAAACTTCGTCCTATAGTAATAGTAGCACTGCTGGTAGTAGTGGTCTTACATTAGTAGCTCTGGGAAGAACGTCAGGAGGAATTGGACGTCCTAGACTCCTACTAAACTAAGCCCTGAGCTCCTTGTCTGCAGCGGCAACATTATGTCTTGATCGCGGCTCAGCGAGGCCGGATTCAGATTGAAGGTTACCCTCAAGCTTAATAACCCTAAGCCCTGAACTTTCAAGCCTGAACCTCCCCATATTTTTGGGGAGTTTGATTTCGGGTCCTCTGAACGCTTACAGCACGGGGCTGCAAGCGAATGGCTGTCGATGTCTTGCTAGGAAAGCATGTGTTCGGGACGTTTAGGGTTTAGGGCTTGCAAATAACTCTCAGTTTAGGGTTTAGGGCTTGCAAATAACTCTCAAGCTCCGGGCTGAAATGGTGTGCTGTCCAGACGCTCAGGGCTGGGGGCTCAAGATTCTCGCAACACCGGAACCCTGCACTGCACGCTTAGGGTTCTGCTTGTGGCTTCGGGTTTAGGGTTAGGGTTTAGGGTTTAGTGTTTAGGGTCTAAGGTAAGAGCCTTAGGGTTAGGGTTTAGGGCTTATTTTGAACTTCAAGCACGCAGCCCTGAACCAACCTTGCACCCTCCACCAAACCCGAGGCGACAACGCGCAGATTCCAGCAAGTCCGACAAAAGCTAACTCAATTGGGGTCCCTTTAAAGGGTTCCTATAAGGGATCTATAAGGGTTTCTATAAGGGTTCCAAAAGAGGAGTTAGACCCTGAACCTGAATCCCAAACCTTGACGTCTCCGTCTCCAAGCTCAAGATTATAGGGTTTAGGGTTTAGGGTTCAGGGTTTAGGGTTTAGGGTTTAGGGTTTGGGGTTTAGGGTTTAGGGTATGCCTCAAACCCTAAACCCGTCACTCCTCAACGCCTACAGAAGGAACCCGAAACTCTAAAGCTACTATCGGGGCCGGAATAACTAGAATGAAGCTGTGGGGTATATTTATACGTAGTAAGCAACCCCCTGGAACAATCTTACGCATAGGAGTTAGGACTAGGGGGGAAACTTTGGGGATCTCGACCCTCTCAATAAGATCCCTTTCAAGACAGCCATAAGAGGGGTTAAGACGGGTCCCCTTTCAGGGGTCTCCCTAATACTATCTAGGAACGAACTCATCCGCTTTGCCGGCCTTGCGAACCAGCGCCTGGGCACAGCATAGCTAGGGTTCAGGAATTTAGAGTTTAGGGTTTAGGAGTTAGGGTTTAGTCACAGTTCCTGGCATCCTGAGATTGGAGCCGTAAGTTAGGATTGGGTGTTTAGACTTCTCCATACTTCTCGGAGTTGCACAAGATTCGCCAGCGCCAAAGTGCGGGCTCACATGGAAAAACACACTCAGCCTTCCGATATAGGGCTTAGGGTTTCGGCTTTAGGGCAAGAACCTGTGCAAGCCATGTGTAAGAACAACTCTAAAGCGGCCGATGGATCCTGGGATAAAAATCAAGCTAGCAGGTGGTAAAAGGATCCTTCGAAGCGGATGGAAGGTTTTAACTGATGTCATCAGCATAGATTTTGTGGATTTCGCAGAATACCCCAACCGCAGAACAGCAGCCAAAGAAAGGCTATTACCCACTATTTATTCAGGCCCATGTCTTTCAAACAGGGCCCTGAGAATCCTTGCTAAAGCCCAGTTGCCCACTCCGACACCGATCGCTCAATCACTCGATCTGCCAGCAACACAGATGCTGCAAACCCGAAAGCCTAAACCCACAAATATAGACCAAAAAACCCTCAAACTAGAAATCCTAAACCCTAAAATTAGAAACCCTAAACCCCAAAATTCTGAACCCTAAACCCTACACCTATAAACCCTCGACCCCCAAATAATGCCAGCCCTAAACCCCAAGGCGCAGACCTGAGACTTGTAGGCCTCAAAGCCTAGACATCCTCCACCCCAAGTCCCCCATTCGGGTTTGTGGTCCTAGTGGTTTAGGGTGTCGGATTGTGGATCTAGGGTCTAGGGTTTAGGGTCTAGGGTCTAGGGTTTAGGGTTTAGGGTTCAGGGTTTGAGGGTAAGGGTTTAGGGTTTGCAAAAATTTTGGGGGTTTCGGGATGGCCTGTTTCGCGATCTGGCGACGGGCCAGTAGGGTTAGGCTTTAGGGTTACTGATCATCACAAGAAGAGCAGCTACTATAGCTGCAATACAACTCACAAGAACAGTGCTACCCTCTCTAAACCAAAAACGGCCCTCAACCCGAAAACCTCATATGTAGAACCCATTTAATTAGGGCCCTCAAACGAACCCCGGTCAGGAACCCCTGAAGACGCCCAAAACCCTGAGCCCCAAATAAACCGCGCAAATCCCAACAGAAGCTAAACCCTAAACCCTACACCCGTTAAACCCCAAACATCCCTAAACCCTGAAATCCTACACCCTACACGCCTAAACCCTAAATCCCTACACCCCTACACCTCTAAACTCAAAGGTGCCACGGCCTCCGCCTCCGCCAGCTGCCCAGAACCCTTCAGGCACAGGGTTTCAGGCGAATAGGGTTTGGGGGTTTAAGGTTTAGATGTTTCAGGGTTTAGGGACCGTAACCCTAAACCCTAAACCCCAAACCCGTTACTTTGGGGGTTTTATACCCTAAACCCGAAACCCTAAATTTTATACCCTAAACCCGAAGCACTAAATTCTATACCCTAAACCCGAAACCCTGAAATACCCCAAACCCTCAACCCCAAAGCCCTATGCCTTCCACCTTATCGGGCTTTTGAAGCATGCTTCAAAGCCTTTATGGGATTTTGGGGTTTAGGGTTTAGCGCTTTATGGGAATCTGGGTTTAGGGTTTAGCGCTTTATGGTATTTTGGGGTTTCGGGTTTAGGGTTCAGAGTCAAAGGCTTTATGTGATGTTATGGGCGTTGGGGAGGCACTTGTGGATCGGGCTTGCGATGCTACGGCCTTGCTAGAGGCACTATACGTGTTTTCAATTGCTAAGCGCTTGGTTTAGGGTTCAAGGTTTAGGGTTTAAGAGTTTGGGGGGTGGGGTTTACGGTTTAAGAGTTTATGGGGTAGGGTGCAGGGTTTAAGGTTTAGGGTCCAGGGGTTCCTGTAGAAGTACTATACGGGTTTAAGGTGCCCTCTTCAGAGTTTCAGGTTTGCCTTCTTCGGTTCTTGCCGTTGATGCAGCCACGCCAGCGTCACTAGCATCAGCGAGAGCTTCACTTTCTTTTTTCAGGTTTCGGAATTTCGGGTCTGGTACGCTGTGGGTTCCGTTTAGGACTCTGGATTTGCTGAATGTAGGATACAAGCTCTAGGACTGGGTTTTAGGGTGCTTAGGATTAGGGTTTAGGATTTAGCAATTTGGGATTCGCACTTGACTGAATATCTTGGCAAAATGCCCTGAGCCATGAAAGCGTTGAACCCCTCTACCCCGTTCTCGAACTCCATCAATCAACCCAAGACCCCTGAACCCGGATAATATAGGGACCTTAATAATTGGAATAGGGTTTTGGAGTACAATGTACTTCCATTATAATAAAGAGCCCACAAACTAGTCTTGATAATTATTTAGGCCCCTATATGAAGCCCCTAAACCCTAAACCCTAAACCCTAAACCCTAAACCCTAAACCCTAAACCCGTACGTGCCTTACATGGGCTTGGAAACCCCTGGAACCCACTTCCGGCTGAGAGCTCAGGGCTTAGGGCTTAGGGTTTAGGGTTTAGGGTTTAGGGTTTAGGGTTTAGGGTTTAGGGTTTAGGGTTTAGGGCTTAGGGTTTAGGGCTTAGAGTTTAGGGCTGAGACTTTCGCCGTGCCTGGTAGATGGATGCCAGGTTTTCTGCACGGACGGCTTCGTCCAGGCCTTTGGCCACAGAAGGACGCGGGGCTGGGGCCAGTAACCCTAAACCCTAAGGCAATAAACCCTAAACCCCTCATCTTTAGCCCGAAACCCTAAACCCCAAGGCACAAAACCCTAAACCCCTCATCTTAAACCCCAAAACCCTAAACCCCGAAACCCTAAACCATAAACCCTCAACCCCTAATCTTAAACCCCAAAAGCCTAAACCCGAAACCCTAAGCCCGTGAACCCTAAACCCCAAACCCTAAAGGGTTTCATTTGATCTCAAGGCTTCGGAAGTAAGAGCAGCTAAGGGCTTGCCAAAACTCAGGTCCCTTGCAATGCCCAAGAACTGAACAAGCCTGTTCCTCCACCGCTCATGCAGGGGCCTTAGTGCGTTTAATCTGAAGTTTGGTGTATGTTAACGAATTAAACTGTACTTGATGTTAAGAACTTGATGCTAAAACCCTAAACCATACACTCTAAACCCTAAACCCCTAAACCCTAAGCCCGAAGCCCTAAGACCTAAATGGGCAAACTATGACATTGGCACACCTGCATCGGGAGACATGGGGATCTGCATAAGGTCGGCCTCCATCTGACTGCCTGAACCCGAACACCACAATCTAATGTAGGGGCCTAGATAATTACCTATACTATTTTGGGGGTTCCATATTCTAACTAGGGTAGAATGGCTCCCGAAACCAAGTTCTAATTATTAAGGCCTCTATATTACGTCGCCAAGAACAGACATAGAGCCGGATCTTACGCCTCCACAGTTTAGAGCTTGGGGTTTAGGGTTGGGTCTGGAGTTTAGGGTTTAGGGATTGAAGGTCTAGAGCTTGACATGATGTAAGCCCTAAACCCCAAACCACATGAGACACATGACAGAAGAAGCTCTTGAACTGTCGCTCTTCTATGCAGGGCTTCAAAACCCTTAAACTCTATAACCTCCGACCTTGAACCCCAAATCCTACACTCTGGAAACCCTGTACACTCGAAAACCCTGGTAAAAAAAAAACAAATGGTAACCAGAAAAGAGCACCAAGCACCCTTCAACTAACATCCGAAAAGTCTGAATCACTAAACCTTAAACCCTAAAACCTAAACCCTAAACCCAAAAACCTAAACCCTAAACGCTGCGCTCGAATTTTTTTCGACAGGCCCTCATAGCTCCGGCGGCCGAGGGAGATAGGCGCCTCGAAGGGCAGACCCAACCCTGTGGATTTAGGGTTTAGGGTCTAGAGTTCCGGGTTTAGGGTTTAGGGCTTAGGGTCTAGAGTTTAGGATTTAGGGTTTAGGGTCTGGTTTAGGGTTAAGGGCTTGGGGTCTACAGATTAGGGTTTAGGGTTTAGGGTCTAGAGTTTAGGGTTTAGGGCTTATGGTCTAGAGTTTAGGGTTTAAGGCTTAGGGTCTAGAGTTTAGGGTTTACGGTTTAGGGTTTAAGGGCTTAGGGTTTAGAGTGTAGATTTTAGGGTTTAGGGCTTAGGGCGTAGATTTCAGGTTTTAGAGCTTAGGGTCTGTTTAGGTTTTAGGGTTTAGGGCTTAACGGCTTTGGGGTTTAGGGTCAGACTGCCGGGTGTTCGTTCAGTCTTCGTCGTATACACTGGCACTACTGCTCGTAGTTTTGTTAGCATTAGAAATACTAGTAGACTTACTCGTCGTCGCGTAATGGCAGTGTTGGTAGTAGTCGTGGTGTCGTCATCGGCTGCGTTCTAGTCGTGGTGATGGTGGTGGCATGGTGGTTGTGGCAGTGCAGATAGTGGCTGAAGGAGTGGAATTAGCGTCCACCGTGCTACTGTTTGTCATAGTGGCACTAGCACACGGAGGTGTAAATACTGTAGAAGACAATGCCGACCATCTGTAGTAGCAGCAAGACTCAGAACAACAACAACAACAACAACCACAACCACAACAACCACAACCACAACAACCACAACCACAACCACAACAACAACCACAACCACACCAGCCAACAGCCAACAGCTGATAGCCAACAACCAACAACACCAGCAACCCCGAACCTGGTCAGAAGCTCCTTGGATTGGATTCCACCGTGAAACGCGCTCTCTTTCTCTCACTCGTGGACGCGTGACTTCATACAAACTCCAAAGGCCATACTGATTCTGACATGATGCGGCCCCAAACTGTTAAGCGTCAACCCGTGCTCACCGACTCAATTCCTAAACTGAGCTGCTGCCGGCCCGAACCTTAAACCCCAAAGCCCAAAACCCAAGCTCTTACAGCGAGATGCTCCGCCAGTGGTCGGGAACGGTGGACAAGGACTCGGGGGACCTGGCTCTGACCAAAAAGTGTTCAGGGCACAGGGTTCGTTGGTGTTTAGAGCTTGGGCGTTTGAAGCTTGAGTGTTTAGGGGTCTAGTCGCTTTACGGTTTACGGTTTCAAGATTTTGGTGCATGGTTTTATGGTTTTCGGATTTTACGATTGAGGATGTAGGGTTTTTTGATCTAGATTGATGGGTTTAGGGCTTCAGGAGTTTCTGTAAAGGCTTAGTCGAACAATTTTGGAGTTTAAGTTAGGGCTCAGCGCAAAGAGATTCGGGTTTCGGGTTAGCCCCCCCCCCCCC